AAGCCCATGTCAAATTCTGCCATTCTGCTTTAGGAAAATGTTATGAAAACTTTGCACACACCTCTATGACTACAGAAGCACAAGGCCTTGTCTCTACCAGCAATTTGAACACCCCAGATTTTAATGTCTTCCTGTTAAGAATCCTTTTCTTTCTTAAATTGCATGCTATAAAATGTAAGGAAAGTGTTTGCCTTACCCAAGAGAGCTTGTAACCTGCAGCATTGGTAATGGAGTTAAATGTGGACTGTAATGCTGAACTCAGCATGCATGAAGTGTTAGAAAATGTTCAGAAGATTTCATGGGTCCCTGGGGGACTTGTGGAAAGGTGCTGGAGGTTTAGCAGCCCTCAAGCATTGTGGTGCAGTGCTAGCCAGCATCCATGTTACAGAGCCGTTGTGCTAGATGCTGACAAACAGTTCTAATTCAGGTGTCACTGTGCATGCCTGAGAAATTGTATGCCAGGATAGGAACAAGTTAAAAGGCATCAAGGTATATCACAAGTTAACTTTTCAGTAAAAGACAAGCCCCTGGAATGCTCCAATATCATCTTTTCCTCTAAGAACAGGACATGAGAATCCCCTGGATACAAACGCTGTATTCTGCAAGAATCAGACCCATTGTTTCAGGCAGGCTAGAGATCTGAGACTAGAGACATCTCCTTGGAGTGTTGAAACTGTGAAAGTCTGAATGGTGACTACAGATACAGTGTGGAATTTCAGCACTGGATAATGAGAGAATCAGAGCAACTTTCACTGCCAGTCCTGCTGCGATGTGTACTGCATAAGAAATGTTGAGGCTTTACCCAGCTAAACCAAGTCTGTTTCTCTTCTCCCTCCGCTGATGAGGATAAATCCTCCCTCATCCTTACAGGACAAGAATAAAATAAAATAAAATAAAATAAAATGGATCCAGCTTTGTGGAGACTATGAACCCATTACTGTGAATTATCTGATCCTTAGACTACTGGGATCAGAAACCGGCTTTCAGAGATTATTTACAAATCAGCTAAATAGTATTCTGGCTTGACACTTGTGTTAAAATTATAGCAATATATATACAGTAGTAATACCATCAATCATAAATAGGGCATTCACTAGCAGAATATGGACTCAGCTATTGATGCATCTATTACCATCCATCTCCAGCAAGAGAAATCATAGACCAACGTCTATAAAGAAAATTATCCTAGGAATGATAAAAAGAATAACTATAGTCACATTTTTTGCCTTGTCCATCCTTAACTCTTCTTTCCTGTTAACTATAAGTATGAGCATCTTTCTTATGTTTGCCTACAACACATACTATGCAAGAGACAGGGCTATTCTGTTTATTGAAGCAGAACTTGAGATATTCCCTCAACTGCCACCTTGAACTTTTTCACTGTTTTGCAGTTTGCTCCTATTACCTTTTAATTAGTGTTAATTAGTCTAGAAAGTCTTGAGCATGGGTTTTTCTATTTTTTACAGTTATCTTGTTCGTGCTCTCTACCTCTTGTTCCAACTCTTCCCCTTTACAGCTACTTACTCAAAAGGGTCACTAGGATCAGCTCTCTGGAGCTCTGGAGGAATCGGTATTCTTTTGTAGTACATTTCCCAGTCGAAGGCTCCTCGCATGGCATCCCCCGCCTGCGCCTCGTAGCCAAAGTGATTGTGGTCAATGACATCGATCATGGGACACACAATAGTTTTCTGGTTTAGTGCAATCTGGTCTGAAAAATGAAAGTAGAAAATAGGAAATGGCATATCTAGTCAAGCCATCTATCATATTACTGCAAAGCAAATCCCACAGGCTTCTTGAAGTTCAAAGATTGCCTGCTTAGCTCCCTGTGGCCCCCAAATCATTTCACTTTTCAAATCTGCATCAACCCTTTATCCAAAGTGGATTTAATGCATTTGGGCATTGATTAGATGCAATTACAGTTCTTTAAAGAGAGTTACATCCCAATGAGACCTGCGGAAGTCCAGTCATCTATATCTCTGTCACTTTGCAACTCTGGGTTGTCCCCAATCTGTCACCTTAGGAACAAGGCAGCAAGCAAAATATAAAAATACTTGTTTAGTGTGAGGTGTGTACTGCAAGGTCTTGGGAAGGAAATGTCCATTTATTAGTGTTCCAAAATATCAATATTGGATTTAGTGATAATACAGCCTCTGCTCCTGCAGCACTTTAAGGCACACCAACCAGCTTGGAGGTCAAATGCTGCCAATTATTTCAAATGGGAAACAGCAACAAGAGGGCTTGTCACCTTTATTACTCCTTTCTCTGAGAAGGAGCTAAAACATTATTTTCACCGTCTCTTGTTTTTAAAGCAGATACATCTTTTTGCTTTATCTTTTTTCATCAGAAATGTCAGTCTGACTCATCATGCTGCCCTGATGAATTTAAGGCTTGGAAAGGGGCAGCTCCGAGATTTGCTGTTGGTGAACTCACTCTTGCAATGTACCTTTAGGAGCCCATCTTGGTTAAGAAAAGCATGAAAAGACAGAAACAAAAAATACCTAATTTTGGTCACCATTATAAAGTAAAATCCCAGAATGCCAAGAGATGCTGCTATATTTGGAAATAATGGCACTTCTTTAAAAATAACACATTGAGGGGTCTTCTCTCTATATTTCTAAAGGGACAGTTTTCAAATACCTGCTTGATAAGACACTCATATACAACAGTCACGAGAGTGGAATAACAATCTAGATGGACAGAGAAAGTTTAATGGATTATTACCATCATGGATATTAGCATATCTTACTTTTGAATGGCTAAATTTCAAAAAACATTTCTTTTACTTCACAGAAACAGGTGCAGCTTTCTTATTTGTATTCAGTGACTTACCCTATCTAAAAATGGGAGTTGAGCTGACCAGTAGTGAGAAATATTTATGTCTTAAAGTTTGGGACGAGGAGCTTTAAAACTAGAGATTTTAATGCTAAAATAAATAAAAAACAAGATAATTCTCTCATCAAACTGCAGAAGCCTCACCCAGACAGCTGCAATGAAGTTGTTTTGTCACTTTGAGGCTTTGCCACTTCTGCCAAATTTTAACTGAATTCACTAGTGCAGTATCTAAGGCCATATTTAATTATCAGTATAATGCTACTTTTAATGTACTCTCTTTTCAATGTAGTCCTGTCAACAGTTGTGGGATTATGGCAGTTTGATCCTGATCCTTCTGTCAACTATGGTTCAGCTTTTGAAGGACCAGGTTTGAGGTGGATGAGTAGCTTACATCCCTTTCTGTATCTGTAAGAAGCCTCCGTCTTCAAAGGGCCTGCAGGACCCTGAGAGTAAGGAAGTGACCCAGATAGGCAGGGAGAGCACTATACAGGGTGCCACACACACTCATAATCCCCTGCTTGAAGCCAGCAAGTTTTTTAAGTATAAGAAAACAGTTCCATGTCTATGCTGCACTCTACTGTGGAACCTGCTTCTTCCCCAGGGAGCTGTGACAGTGCAGTATGGCCTCAGAAGGGAAAATGTCATTTCTCTGTGTTATGTGCACACATGTAAAGACAGCAAATAAGCACTCCGCCTTCCTTCAAATGACTCAACTATCAGCCAATAAGCTTAGAATACCAGCATTTCTACACATTGGCGCACACGTAATGTAACAGGTACCTGAGTGGCTGCTGAGCTAAGGCTGAAATCCTGCATAAGTCTCTTTCTCCTATTCTTTGTTCATAACTTTTGTAAAAAATACCTTTTGGCACGAAAAAATCTATGCATGATTTCTGCCCATCGGCCATATCTTTGAAAAACTTGCAAGAAAATCTGTTTGGCTTTTTTAGTTGTGTATTTGTAAAAATAAACTAAAAGGGTATGCCGCAATAACCACAATGTATCAGGGAGCTATGGCATGGCTCTAGTGGGAGCTAACTCCTTTTCTCTTTGACAAAGTTGCATTTGTCCACCTGAAAATTTGATTTAAAAAAGGACTGATTAACCCAGTGCCAAACTGTGTGTGGATATTCTTATTTTAGCTTTAAGTCAGTTAGAAATCAAATATAAACTAACCTAAAACAAACACATCTTAACATGAAATAAGAATGTTCATGCTGAGGTTTGCACCAATGAAACCAACAATCTAAAAGTTCAATTGGTGTAAATTTCTTACATAAGAAAGATCTAAGGTGCAAATGCTCTAAACTTCTTCCCCTGATTATTCTGACCACAGTCCTAGTATTGGTGAGGACTCACCCCAGAGGACCTATTTAGAAAGATGGGGTAGGCCAATAAATTTAGAAAATTTCCACTCTAGGACATTGTCAAGTGTTTCTCAGTGTGAAGGCTTTCCAACATGTGCCCAAATCCAGTCACAGATAATGAAGGAAACCTACAGAGATGCAGCAAGAAAGCAGCAGTACCGTATTTACTCAAATATAAAATGGCCCTGAAAATAAGATGACCCCCCAGTAATTAGAGTCCATATATGGAAAATTTATAAATTTGTTATAATTTTCCAGGTATAGAATCTAACAATTGGAGGTCTGCCTTGAATTTGTCCCCCCTCTCACTGCTACAGGAGGGAAAATATATCGCGGGTGGAGGGCGCAGTCAGGTGACCCTCTCTCTCTCAGAGCCCATTCCTTATTGTCAGACCATGTTCTCCCTGAGCACTAGGAAGTGAGAGGCAAATTTGAAAACACTGACTTTAAAATAAACATACCCACACTAATTTAGTTCATCCCAAATTGATGAATTTTACCTTTCTTGAAATTGCTGCAAGTTTTAGCACAGGTACACCATAAACACACTTTCAAGCAGCACTTTTGTATCTACTTGCATATAGTACAAACTATGCACGATACTAGTCCAAAGCTAAAAGGCTCATGATTTAGTATATAGTTCATTGAGCTGGGCCCCAGTAGAGTTAACAGCATTTCAAGCCATGGTGACACCACAGCTCAGCACTGCTCAATATGTGCGTGTACTCTAGATACCTCCCAAAAAGGATTCATGTGCTTATTAGTTGCCCACTCATGACAACTGGATGTTCTTGTCATGAATCCTAGGATCCCCCAAAATGTATATGTAGATGAGGTGCGGAGCAGCTTGGTCCAGCTCCTTCTCATGGAGAGGGGTGAGGCACACTAGAGAGGGGGAAAGAGAGGGATTTTTAAGTGAACTTTTTGGACCCCCATTTGGTGATGTTTGCCAGACATTTAAGGCTGAAGAAACAGGAATCATTGGAAATGGGAAAGAAAGGCACAACTCAGCAATAGGAGTGAAACAGAAATTAAAATGCATTCAATGTAGTGGCTCACCATGACCTGAGAAAGAGTTGGCACTCATGGGGACTGAGTAAAATGGGCACTACCATATATCTTATTCAGATGAGCTGTACTAAATTATCCTTGTGGTAGATTCCCAACAGCATTTCCATCTTTTTAGCACCAAGGGGAGAGTGTCAGAGTTGGCTCTGGCCCTCCTGGTGCCAACCTGGTATTGCAGTACCTACAGGCCCAGTACCAGTTCCTTACAGAGGGAACACTTCTGGGTTTTTAAGGGACACACACACACACACACACACACACACACACACACACACACACACACATTCCCATCAGTATGGGCCATGTGTTTTATAGTCATGTTCATTGTTGGCTGCATTTAATCAGCTTCATAGTTTATTTCCATTACGGAGCACATACTGCTTTTGGCATCAGTTTAATGATAGACAGTGTATTTAATGAGGTTTTCTTGTATACACATGTAAGATGAGGAGCTTTTTCCTGCCTGCAGCCTAGGGTAGGGGGGAAAGCCTCATCTTATATTGGAGTAAATACAGTATATTTACTCAATATTGAAAGAACTGTCAGGTAGATTCTGTGGTAAAAAACTTCAAAAAGACCCATCATTAAGAGAGTTGGATTTTAACGGTGCTCTCATTAAACAAAATTATTAAGAGTGTTTTTGCAATTTACTTGGTCCTGAAATAGTTCATTCTTCCTTTTTAGAAAGGCCATAGGCAGGGTACCCTAAAAGCAATTTTGTTTTGGTCATTTTACCTCTGTACTTGCTTTGCTCCTCTTTATTTTCTGCCTTAACTGCCTGGTTTAATGGGTGTAGAGCTAGCCAATCCTTGGTTGTGGTGGCTATCCCTACCTGGTAAACTAAGCATGCTCAGCCAGACTACCCTCTTGGCTGTGCTTCTCTGGGCAGACTGCCACCTAGGCTGGAAGCATGGTAGCTGTGTCTGTAGGGCTCTTTTGCAGGCTAATTAGCTGCTTGCAGCTCTGCCTGGCCTCATCTGAAGTTATTAGCACTAGTTATGACATCCAGTTAACCCACAAACTGCAACGTCAGGCAAGGCAAGAGACTTCTCTCCGAGCTTGATAAACTGAGCATGGCCAGAAGTTTCAGCAGCTGCATGCCACAGCAGCTTGTAGAAGTCATGTTTATGTTAGTCGAAGTCAAACGTCCTTTACATTGTTGGCAATTAGGATTTTACATGAAGGCAGTGATGCTATCGAGAAAAATGATGATGTTGTGATTAGAAAAAAGTGATAACTCAGGGAGAGATTGGATAGCTAATTTAGTCCCCTAGTCTGAAGGGAGATGGGTTTAAATTTTATAGATTACACTGGTATTGATCTGAGAGGGATATTAAGGGACAGTACTTATTATCTTTCTGGGTTATGTGGCATACTTCAGGAACAGTACTTTGCTGCCTGCATATGTTTAATGAGTGTATTATGCTGTCAAATCAGTCCCAGCAGCAAACTTCAGGAAATGGCTGCTCCTTGATGAAACTCTAAATTGCTGCAAACTTATGTAGGATTTAAATTTTAAGCAGAATTTTTTTTTTTCTTTATTACAGAAAAGAGGGAAGCACTGAACTTTGTTAGAGTTGTGTGAGTAGTTGGGTATACAGGGGAGAGGGCCTTGTTTCCTGACTTTAATCCTAGACTACCTACAATTGATTCTTTCCATTTCTTTGACTAATGGAGCTTTGCTGGTTCTAGCTGGAATCCAGCAAAGCAGTCGATAGCAAATCATTCTCTCTCAGCTTCCTATTGTGAATGCAGTTATTATTGGCTTTAAGTCCAAGGTCTGGGATACATTTACAACAAATGCTGATTTAGTGGAATGTGTAAGGGGAGGAAGAAGTACAATACTTGCATTTCAAAAATTCCTTAATGCTTTTAGGTTTATAGCACATATCTAACTTGATACTGAATGCTGATATTTGTTATTAACAAATTAAAAAACTCATGTAGATCTGAATTATACTTCAGAAATGTTACTAGTTCTTTATTTCACAGATGACTGCAAAATTAAGCAGCATGGACTCTTTCCTCTTTTTGATTACTGCATAATCAGCATATATTTTCAGCCAAATTATTCCAGAGAAATTCAGTAGTATAGGCCAGGGTTTGCAAATCTTACTTTGTGCTGAGGATATGAGTTGCCACACACCAGCTGCAGAATAAGCCCAGCTGTCTGGTGTAGTGAAGTGATCTTATTGTGGGACACAAGTGTGATTCTTGGCACTTCTACTGTGTGTTCTGACTATAATGGTGAATTAATGTACAAACACTTACTAAGCAAGGGAGGCAGCCAATTCACGTTGACTTCACAATGGGAATCCAGGAATGTCAAGACTTCTCCTTTAGCCATTGAGGCTCCTAGCAGCCTGGTACGAATGAGCCCTTCTCGTTTCTTGGTGCGCACAATCCTCACTTTGGCAAAACGAGCCATGTATTCCTCCAACTTCTCTTTCAAGTGTTCTGGAAAGGAGGGGAAAAGAAATGGGGCTATTAACTATGGAGGGCTAAAATAATGGATCTGCTGGTAAACAGGTGAACAACATGTGTCACTCTAGGCCCTCGGTGCCCTTTCATTCTTTATAGTTTCAAGTCCTTCATTATCTCCCATGAACCCTTTCTGAGATGGTTCATAAACTACAACTGTTCTTTGTTTTAACACACAGAGAAAGCCACTGACATTCTAGACCTTTTATTGCACAGTTGCTACTGGCAAGCTGCCATCCACTATATAATCATTGCCAAAACAACTGCAGGATGCTCATCTGCCCTCTGGTTCTTGAAGCCCAAGGCCAGATGAACACTCTTGTCATATGGTTTTAGAAATGCTGTCCTTCCCAAGTGGGTTTCTTGTTTCTATTAATTATACATGAAGATGCACAGAAAACAATTTTTAAAAATGAACTGTTTAATTGGCAGGACTAAGTTGTTTCTGAGGTTGGGAGGTGAAATAAACTTGCAGGCTATCTCAATAGTTGGCTGCCAGCTTGACACAAACGGATGGCTGGCTTGCTAATAAAATTAAGCTGCAGATGTACAGCCGTTGATAGATTCCATACTCTTCTGTCTGTATACCCTGACTGTGTTTGCATCACAAAACAGCACATTTGGGAACATTTTTTTTCTCCTAATTAAAAAAAAACAATAGGAATGAAATTACCCACAGTTTTGCCTCCCCCTTAATACATCTACAAGAGGAAAAATAATCCATTGCCTTTGATGAAATACCTTGCCTTGTCAAGTTCATTATTACTCTGAATAAATGCAATAACTTTATTTGGCAGGGAAAAGAGGGCAGAAACACATAGCAGCTGATGACATGCTGTATTTATTGAAGCTCTTAGCTGCACACTAATTTTCAATGAAACTGAGTTTGTAAGGTTATGATAGTCTCTATGTGATGCAGATTCCTTTGAGATTTTTTGCTGTTTGTTGCCATTGGTCACTCTGGGCTTTGGATTGGCTTTGTCTTGTTTCTGACCATAAGGCCTTCTCTACAAGTTACTTGTATCATGCAATTACTGGGCTAATTGTGCAAGTAATTTAGACCACCTACATGTGCAAATTAACTATTGTGCCTTAACAAGGCCCAACCAGCTATAAAGTTATTTCTGGAAAATGTGAAATAATTTTTATAGCTGGTTTCTATCCATCTTGAATTTGCACATGTAGCAGGGTCTGCCCCTGTGGTTGGGATCCCCCTCAGCTGCTGGGGCTCCCAGCTGCTGGGATACACCATGGGCAGCCAGGCCTGGGGTCCCACAATGGAGGGGACTCTCAGCCCCACCAGTGCTCATGGCACCCAGGACTCTCCCTCCCAATAGTGCCCTACAGCTGGGAACTCTGGGTCCTGGCAGCCACGGTGCACTGCCACGGCTGCAAGTCCCGTCAGCTACAGGACTTGCAGCTATGGGAGCTTGTTACTTGCTGGTACAGTGACTACATTAGTTTAGAGAATTAATAATTATAGCTACTGTGTGTTTCATTTTGAGATTTTGAAAAGAAGAGAAATCAGAATATTGTTTGAGAGAATTTTTCTATCTCACATGACTACAAAAGTAGCAGAAGTAGGAAACAATTTCAGCAGTCAGTTATAAAAATGGGCGACTGGTGCCTCCTGAGCCTGGGGGCACACCAGATCGCTGACGGGGGGGAGGCGGCGGACGGGGTCCCTCACAGCCGATCACCAAGCCAGTGGAGAACTGGAAGTACGTTTCTGGTTCGTGGCTAGTACTTCCAGGGGCTGCACAGCTGATCACAGGGTGTTCATGTGCACCCGTGTGCACCCCCTACGCATTGCCAATTGTTATAAAATGGTTTTGAAGGTGAAGACAGACATCTCCAGAGTTACAGATAATAATGGTTCTCATGCTTCTACTCTGCATTTCCTTTTGAAACTTATGGTATGTCTTGGGATGCTCAGGAGCTCCAATCCTGCCATCCTGATGCCATAGTAAGACAAAGGACAACAGATGACCTCTAATCAAATGTCCCTGTATATTCTAAGGTTACACAAATAGTAAAAATAATCATAGGAGCAGTGTGGTTCTCAATAAATTGGCACCCCTGTGATTGAAAGTCCTGGAGAAGCCCTGTATCTATTTTCATGAAAGTCACAGAGTTTAGTTGGTTACAAGGGTAGACCCTACATAAAACACATTACAGTCTAGCAGTCATAAAAGTACGGGTTGCTCTGAAAAGGTCAGAAGAAATGAAAAACTATGATCCTCATGCTTTATAAATACATAGGACAAGCATTTGAGAATATTTTATAGCTCTTCAGTACAAATTCTAAAAGCCTCAGAAAGCTAAAATGTAGAGAGCATGAGAGACCAAGGGATCAGCTATACCTTGGGGCCCTGAAAGAGTAAGGAATTTTTTAGGTAAAGTATGCCCAGAATATCCTAAAATTAAACAATACCCCATGCTAGAGAGGAAGGGGGGAAAACACAGCAGTCTTTCCCAATCAGAAGAAAGAAAAGCTCCTTCCTGCCTGAAGTCTGGCGATTAGTTTAATCAGGAATGTGTGAATAGGACCCAACAACCAGTATTCAAGCAGTTTTTCAGCAGTTTTTCAGTACGGATAGGAGAACCTTGCCCAAACCCCCATCTATAGCGATGGTCAATATTCAGTGCCTCAGAAAAAGGCATGGACCAAACTCCCCCAAAACCCAACCACACAGAAAAACAGATGTCAAGCCATGAAGTAATGTACCGAGAGCAGCATCTTGCCCTATCCAAGAGCAGCATCTTGGATAGGGCAGGAAGAACCAGCTACCAGAAGCCCTGAAGCCATAAGCTATATAGTACAGTACAACTCATATTGTAAGCATACAAAAAATTCAGGAGAAGGAAATCCAATCCAGAACCAGATTACATTTTCTCAGTTTTCATTAATATATGCACTATATTTGCTATTCCTTAGTCATAAGTTACTATTCCCGAGCTGCCAGATTCATTGGTGTTTTCCATCACTAATATCTATCAGTTTTGTTTTTTTAAAATTACTTTTCACCCATAATATCAAAATAAACACCCCTATCACAGAGAACTCCTTGAGTTTCTCTACATGGAAAAGAGTAGGGGGAAAAAAATCTGGTTTTTACTATACCCATTTCAGTTTAATTTTATCTGAGTGCCCACAGGTTTCTCAGTTGCTGTTGATATTACCTCCTCAGAAAACCTTTGCATCACACACACACACACACACACACACTGAGAAGCCAGTAAGCTTACTGTTCAAACAAACACACATCCCTCAATGCCTATGCAAAACTATGACTTCTGAAGAAATTCTCTAAAGAAATTATAATGTGATGTGCAAAACAGAAAGCAAAATTAAATGAAATGGCCTTTAAATCTCCAGGAGAGAACACATTCAGGCCATTTATTACCAATGGAATCGGTTCAGGCAAGCTTGCCATGACAATAAAACATTGAGGTAGGATGGCTTCATTTATATGCTGTGATATTACATACATTTTACTTTCAGAGGCAGGCATGAGAGAGAGTCAGTATTTAAATTCTTCAGTGAGCAATAAATGGTGTACCTCAGATGTAAAAAAGTCAGTGCTCCTGTCACTAAAAATAGGGAGAAGATGCCTAATTTGTAATTTAAAAAGAAAATATATCATTCTTTCCTTCACAATGCTGATTAAATGAGGTAATAAATCATGTGTCTGATACATGCCAGGCATCTGCCAGGGCAAGAGTTGGCGCAGAAGGTGACAAATAAAGAGTCATGTAGGAGCAGGAGTTTTATAGGCTGTCACTGGTATGACAAGTGATGATAAAGGGCAGCATTATGTCTCTTCTACTGATAGTCTATAAACAAATTTTCCATTGCAATTCCTTTGTGTGGCCTTCTTTATCTTCATTTAAAGCCTGAAGGAGGTTTCCCCTCCCCCCCCGAAAGAACAGCATTAAGACAATTGCTTTGTCCTAATAATTAAAGGTCTGCTCAAGCAGAATACCAAATTACTTCATTCAATACCCAAAAAGTAAACTTTGAATTGATGATTCCTCCTTTGCATTTTAAAAAAAATGTAATCTTTCCTTTTGGGTGGATGGCTAAAATGGGTATGTTTTGTACAGGGGCTCCTGTCAATTGATTTGCTATGTTTATGCAACCTGCTTCACACCAAGATCCCTTTCCAAGGGTGCCCAGAAAGAGGTTTAAGATAAGAGACCACAGCTAATGAGACCTAGATGGAGAATGTTCTTTCCTAGTCTTTAGGACTGGTATAGCTCCAATACACAGGACAATGCCAGAAAAAGTAAAGGAAGGAAAAATATATGGAGGGGGCAGCTAAAGCCTATGTAGATGCTTTAGCTTGTCTGTATCTGCCTTAGCTTGCCTCACAGGTGGTTGCTCACTGTCATCTACCTGACTTCATGCTCCAAACTCCTGCCTAAAGCAGTACTACCACACTTCCTGCCCTAGTACTATTTGCCTGATACATCAGCTGTGTTCTTCAGCTGCTCAGATGACAGTTACAGAGTATTGATTACTTAATGTTTTGATGAATTGCATTTAATCAAAACTGCTTCTATTTTGATTTTATTTTACTTGGAAGAATATAATTTGAACTGATTTGGCATCCTCTGGATGTGTAAAATGAATGTACAGGCAGGTAATTCTACAGTGGCACAAAGCTTGTGTTAACGTCTTTCACCACATGTTAGTAGCTCCTTCCCTACATAGAAGAGCTATGAGTAGGGACCTACTGAACTCACGACAGAAGTGTGCTATGCAGCAGCTCCTTTAATGCTGCAGGTTCCCCCATGAACCCTCCAGAGCTGATTGGCTGAGAGGTCCTGGTGGCCCTGCTGTTTGTTGCTGATCACCAACCAGGAGGCAAAAACAACACCATATTTAAAACCATGTTTTTTGCCTCCCTTTCGATCAGAAGTGAGCAGAGGAGCCTGCAGAGGAGTCAGTAGGGGGGGCCTGTAGGGGAACT